GAAACGCAGAAGCAGAGCCTCTACTTCACGCCGGTATTCTGTGAGGTCGTGGTACCAACCCGGCTCGAGCCGGCCCATACGTGCAACAGCAAAAAACTGCTGCAGGGCTCTACCACCGTTAAATCATCCCTACGTGTGTTAAAATATCCACTAAAAAGGACATTCGAGGAAGCGCTAAGATCTTAAATGAGGCAAGTAAAAAGTTGTTACGAACGGTAATCCAACAAAAACGCTCCGATCTACATACCATAAACAAATCCATAGACACATCATTCAGTGATTTAAAGGCAGTTTTAACGACATTTGATTATAATGTTTGCATCGAAACGTTAAATAAACGAGAAATTAATAAATATAATGAATGCAAAAACAAACATATAATAAAATATCAAAAATTAACGACCAAATTAAATGTCAAACATCTGTGTCGACGTGAGAACGAAACGCAACCGTCGACTACGAACGCGGATCATAGATTAAACGCGGTCTATAATCTGTCAAAACAAACTCTGGATGATGCAACAATTAGAGTATTATCGAAAGGTCTTAATTTTGCTATAACACCGAAAAAATTACCGTACGAACAAATTATCTGTAGTGTCGAGGACTGTTTATTTAAAAACAATATGCAAAAGGAGGATTTGGAAGCGATACGTCAAGACATTTCGTCTATGTTACGTCGAAGTTCAGCGCCAAAACCGAATCTACCTAAAGACGATTTCAAAGCGTTGACTAACCTACGCAATAAACCAGAACTCACGATTCTCCGCGCAGATAAGGGAAATGCCACGGTAGTTATGGATACGTCAGATTATAATTCTAAAATACAAGAACTTTTGTCGGATGCAAGTACGTATAAAAAGGTTAAAAATGACCCAACAAATAACACACTTAAAACAACTAGTGATCTCATAAAGAAACACTCCGAAAAATTAAATCTAGACGTAAAATCGATAATACCTACGTGTGCTAAACCACCGAAGTTGTATGGGTTACCAAAAATACACAAGCCCAATGCTCCACTACGTCCTATAGTGAGCCAAATCGATTCACCAACTTACAGATTGGCTCAACACTTAGCGAATATACTCTCACCGCTCAAGGGACATACAAGAGCACACACAAAGGATTCCTACCATTTTGTCAGCGAGATTAAAGACCTACATCTGGCAGACAATGAAACTATGGTGAGTTTTGATGTGCAGTCTCTGTTCACATGCCTACCTGTTGAAGACTGCATCTCGATTGTTACTAGAAGGCTAGAGGAAAATAACATGCCCGTAGAATATGCAGTATTACTCAGACACTGCCTTACATCTGGCTACCTATTGTGGAAGGAGGAGTTCTACAAGCAAGTAGATGGTGTGGCGATGGGCTCACCTGTATCTCCCATTGTTGCCGATAAATTCATGGAGGACTTTGAGGAGAAAGCCCTGCTTACTTCTCCCATAAAGCCAAGATTCTACAAGCGGTACGTAGACGACACTTTCACAATTCTACCTTTAGATAAAGTAACTGCATTTTTAGACCATCTTAACTCCTTAAATTCTAAAATTCAGTTCACAATGGAGTTAGAGGCAAACAATTCTTTAGCTTTTCTAGATGTGTTAGTAATTCGGAATACTGATAACACCTTGAGCCACACTGTGTATAGAAAAAAGACCCATACAGATAGATATTTAAACGGTGATTCTCACCACCATCCTTCACAGTTAGCTACCGTGGGTAAATCTTTGTTTCAGAGAGCACGAGGGATCTGTGACAGTAAACACCTGGCCGCCGAGCTCCAACACGTCAAGCAAGTTTTGCACGACAATAAGCTTCGGGTCCCGCGCCTACGTCACAGTGAACGAGTGAAGCCGGCCACAGTCGAGCGAGTGCCTGCTGTACTGCCATATGTCAGAGGTGTCACTGACAAGATTGGCTACATCTTGAAGCGTGCTTCCATTAAAACATATTTCAAGCCGCCGAAGAAGATTAGTCAGTTTTTACCATCAGTCAAGTGTAATATTCCTCTGCAAGATGCAGGAGTGTACAAGCTGGATTGTGAATGTGGTCTCTCTTATATAGGACAAACTAAAAGATCCATAAAAACCCGCGTTAAAGAACACATAGCTGATGTGAAGAATAGACGCTCCGGGAAATCTGCAGTCTGTGAACACGTACAGGATCGCCCCCGTCACTACATTAGATTTGATAGACCACAAATCCTCGCTAAAGAACACCGATTCCTTCCAAGGATGATTCGCGAAGCTATTGAAATCAAAAAACATCCTAATTTCAATAGAGAAGATGGCTGGGTGCTACCATCTGCTTGGGATCCCATAATTAATAAAATTAAATCCCAACTCAAGCATACAACTGCAAGACTTCATGATACTGTAAGTTCATACTGCGTAGATCGGAACAAAAATTAATAATTTTTAATCTGGAGGTAGCCGTGGTTAACTATGACATTGGGACGTCATACACCTCAGTCCCCCCCGTGACCATGGGTGCTGTAAAGTGCTTGAAACGTCGGGAAAGTAAAATAAGTTAAAAATAAGTTAATATACGCGATAAAATCCGTAAAATTAGTTTTATTTAAATCGAGTAGTTTTACTATTTATCTTTAGATGTATAGTAAAATTATTTTATCCATGCAGTTGGGGTCATAAATCATAGCTCGGCCTCAGCCTGGCTAGGACGGTGAGCAAGTTGCGCGGGCGCAACGCCTTTATCGATAACAACAAATGAATCATCGAAGACAGGTACACGGCGGCGGTACGGTATACAAAGGTTGGTGCGACAGTGTTATGTTACGAGTCATTTGTTTTCCATTATTACCTCCGCCTAATACCTGCAAATTAGTGCTATAATAATTTAGTAGAGAATTTTGTTTTTGCGCAATCGCTCTCTGAATTTCTTTAATGACACAATGGCTACTCCTTCGTTTTGTTCCAAAACGGCAGAATTTATTCAAAATAATATTTTGCCTTTTGGCACCAATATACCAAGCACAAGCACGTGTTGTTATCAATAATGTTTTAATATTTTTCACTGAAATTAAAATAGAACCCGAAAAGTTACAAAGTGTTAATTCCGCCGTTCTCGTCAACTTGCTGATTCTGATGTAGAATTTTAATGTAAATAGTTTTAGATTTAATTTTAGATATGTTATTATCTTTATATTTATATTTATTTTTAATATAACTTGTTACGTTCCAAACATTTGTACTTATATTTTTTTAATACATAGATACCTAATTAATAATTTATTTTAAATCATTATTATTCTTATTTTAATAAATACTTTGTTTTATCTATTTTTTTTCTTTCATTTTTATCACTTACCCATATAATGACAAAAATAAATACACTATCGACAGCGCCTATCGACATCAATAATGCGCATCACTATGAGGAAGAGAGAGCGAAATACCGCGATGATTTATGACCCAAACTGCACGAACAAAATAATTCTAGTATAGATAGTGTAAAGTGGGCGGGGCTTAACATCCCCTCACCCCGCAAATTGTCAGGCGTTGTTACATAGTGGAATCTAATTACAACACCTCCTCTTTGTTTTTGCTTCATGATACGTATGTATGTAATGCTTCCTCTACACTACTCGCGAAGTAACTTCGACGAAGTGCTCGTCGAAGTCGATCGCAGTCCGAAAAACGTGACCACACACGCGTGCTACTTCGCGAAGAGCGCAGTCGTCTTGAGTCTCCCGCACCGTTAACATGAATGACGTTCAAGAGGCAGCTCCTATATGTACCTAATTGTGTGAGCAGTACGACGTCAATGCGTTAACTAAATAAATAATTATGTAGAAAGTTACATATTTAATATTTATATATAAAAACAAATATTCATAACTGGCGTACGCCGAGTAGTGTAGTGAGACGCTTCGTGTAACTTCGGAGTACTTCGCGAAGTCCTTTGACTCTGGCGCAAAAAACCGACAGCGATCGGAATTCGCCCGAGGCGAAGCGAGGTTGGACGAAGTGAATCGAAGTACCTCTCTACACTATTCGCCTCATCCAACTTCGATCTATTTCGCGAGTAGTGTAGAGGAGGCATAATACTCTATGGCAAATAATAACCCCCCCCCCCCTTAACTGTGTTTTTGAAGAATACCTATGAAATATTTTCTGCTTATTTCGATATATTAGAGCTTTCTACCCTAATTTTAGGGTAAATAAATAGGACGAGTTTTTTAGGAGCTTTATATTTTTAGAGACATATTTTTTTCCATTTTAGCTGATGTTTGTTTAAAAGTTTACGATGATTGCAGCGCAGCTGTAATACTTTTGAAAATATCTCAAAATTCGGGTTGTATGTTTTGCATTAATTATCACGGTTGCAATTTCTTGTTATTTAATGAAATGCTACTAAGTGTGATGAAGAGCTGATTCACATTGCAATGAAATAGCGCATCATTTATAACATTTAATCCATTAGCTAAAATGTATGTTTATTTTACATCCAAATTTATAATTTTAATATGTTGGAACCATCAGAAGAACAAGTAATAATATTTGAAATATTAAATTATTTATATGTAAATAAGGTGATTTTAGGCGTTTTTGACTTAACCTTTAGGGGTAAATATTTTTTTGTTGGTAACACTGAGCAGCACACACCACACCACAGCACCACATTAAAAAAAAAAAGAAAAAAGAAATTAAGAAACGAAAAACGAATGTGTGGTGTGGAGATATTATTGCTGGATATATTTTTTATTGAAACAGCGTATTAGCATAGCGAATATTTCACAAATTCTCATTATTAAAAGATAATATATTCAAGGTATGTTTAATGATACCATTGCGTAAATTGTAGCTTGTGTTTGGCAAATTTGGAAGCCACTAGAACGCCATTTTGTGGTGTTATTTTTTATCAGTGTAGATGTAGAAAAATAATTTTCAAATTGCGGTGTTTTAATTTTGTGTTTGATTGAGCTCTTGATTGACTTCATCACCTTATTGTTGTAATGTTAATTTATTCGCAGAATGGCTGAAGATTTTGATGTAGAGGCTATGCTTGAAGCCCCATATAATAAATCGGTAAGTCCTTCGCGTTTGTTTTCCACGTTATTTCACTCAAAACTACATATTTTTTGCTATTTGACTGCTTAATATTTTTATATTATTTCATATCATCAGGCCAAAAATGTTCTAATTTTTAAATGGAGGTTATATTGAAGTGTTAATATATCATAAAATATATGTTTTATTACACTATCATACAAATAGTAGTTGTATTAGAAAGTATTACCTACTTATACTTTTGCATTAGAAATATTTGGTGAAGTTACAGCCTATAATATATGTTCCACTTCTGGGCAATGGCCTTTCTTTCTGAGAGGGTTTTATGTGGACATATTTAGTATTAGGAATATTTTATTGCACACAAATAATGCATTTCAGATTCATTAGCAAATGTGATGCAAATCATCATTAGGTAGCTCATATTATTTTTAAAACAAAATTGCTATATGAATGAATTAAAATAATATTCTTTCTTATAATATTTACACTGTTCTTAAATATTATGTTGATAAAATTAAACCATCCATCCATAAAATCAATGAATTGTAATTTACATTTCCTCAAAAATTTAAACAATTATATTTGTAGTGTAATTATATCTAGGGTGGATGTCCCTATTACCAGTCTTTTTAGTGTCATTTTCAACTACCTATTAAAGGTAAGTTTTAAGATACACAGTAATAAATTGGTATCAACTTCTAATTTTAAATTATGAATGTCACGAGCATACAGAAAATAATTATTTTGCTTTAATGTTTTAAAGTATAAGGTACTTTAGGTGTTTTAGTTTTTAAAAGTTTGATTTTTCTTTTAAAATGAAACAATTAAAACCAATTCTGAGAAAAGTGTATGTAGCATATTGGTTAATTAATCATCTGAGTTTTTGAAACAATGACAATTCATGAGTTTTTGTTTATGTAGTAAGTAATAATAATTATTGCTTATTTTTGGTCTTATTAAAAAAATAATTAAGATATACTTTATTCTTAATATATAACAAATGTCTGATAATTTCCTCTCAAAAATGAATTGTCTTAATTATGTAATAATGATATTTATTCCAGATTATGACAACCCCGATTTATATTATATGGTTGAAATTAGGTACTTCTTATTTGGTTCCTCATAACATATAACAGACTGGCTGCTAAAATACATACATATAGTATATTATCCGATTGCAGCCTCATTAATTTACACTAAAAGATAATCAAAAACTTGTATAATTATCTAAAAAATTAAATAATTTCCCAGCCTATAGTCATATTCATGTAAATCACAAGACCTAAAGATGAAATAATGTAAAATAAGCTTAATTTTATCAGGTCCTGTGTTGTTGGTATTCCCTGCAAGTTTTGATATTAAATTTAACTATGATAGATTTAATACTGTATGGTAATATTTTAAATATACTTTCCTATTATGATAAAGAACTTTTTAGTTGACAATATTTGTAGTTAAGACCACTACAAGTTGGTTGAGGTAAGTTTGCACCTCACTGGAATGTGAGATCCCTCCCACCCCCAACCCCACGTTTATACAGTCACGGCGGTACGGTTTGCATCTTTGTTGCCTACACACTTTTCTTAATTTTTGTTTCCTATTTATTTAGTTTTTGGATTATTTTTATTAGTTTTTACAGATTTTATAACTTATTTTTGTTGTGTTTTGTTGAATTGATATAGTTGGATTTTGTTATTATTGTTGTAGTCCACGGGCCCACATACAAGTGATTTCAGTGATTAATAACTGGCTGAAAGTTTATACACAGATTTGTTTTGACGAGACACCCAACTTTTATCATTGGACCAAATTCTGATTGTGGGAGGAAAAAGCGCATTAGGGAGCGAAACATGTCGATTTGATGAGTGTCCCAAATTAAATAATAACAGTTTCTAAAAATCAATACTTCGAGAAAATACGATGGAAAACTGAGAAAAACTTATGGCATATAATGTGAATGGTACCTTCCGAGTGACCCCCAGCTCTAACATGTCAGAATGGTGACTTGAAAAAATTTATTAATAAGAAGCTGATTTTTGTTTTGGGGCTTGCAAAATATATATTTTTTATAAAAAATGCATCGGCATTCAAATTTGTTGGTAATTTTTTTGAGACGTGTGAAAGTTCTCAAGATTATGTTAATCTTTTTTTGATTAATAACAACTTCCTTTTTAATTTTTTCTGTTAAGAATCAAACGTATAAATAACACCATGAAACTATTGGCATACAAAAAAATGGAAGCAATTAATTACAAATGAACTTTTCAAAATTAAATCTTAAAAACATAATATGTTGAAGTCCTGTACATAATTTTTGCCAGCTTTTGTTTGAAATTACTTAAATGGAAAATTCGTATACAATATTACAGCTTATTTAATGATATGAATATTATTTTTTAAATTACTTAATTATATAAACAATTACAGCAATAAAAACAAGGAAATTGCATGAAAACTTGTTGAAATTTCTTGTAACGAGTGATTGAGCTATTGAACTACTTATTTATTTTATTATTCAGTTAACAACAATTTTTAAGTGATAGACAAGTAAGGAAAAACTCATTGTTTTGTAAAGCAAATTGTAAAATCAGTTATCATCTATAAAAAAAAAATAGTTCTGAAGTTCGAAAAATGCATATTATTTATAACTTGTGTAGGTACTTAAAAATTAATATAAATTACAGTTTTTTAATTTCTTTATAATTTAAATCTATAATTTATAATCAAATTTAAATTAATATCTTTATTTTATTATATTAACAAATTAAAAATATTTAACTAAAATACATATACCTAATACATGTTTGTAGCAATAACGTTTTCGTTCGAAAAGAGAACTTATAAAAAAATTTAAAGTAATGTATGCTTTGTGCAAGTAAAGTTCTGATAATACACTCAAGATACAAGCTTTTATTTTTATAACATTAGTTTAATACAAATGAAACCAGTGGTTACAAGACATAAGTACGGAGCACATATTAAATGATTCGATTTTTGTTTTTGTAGGTTAACCAAAAAAATACCATTTTTTTTGTAGTTCGCTATTTTATTTAGATTAAGAATTAAGTACATAATTATAAATTTTTCGTTGCATACGGTTATTAATCAAAAAAAGATTAACATAATCTTGAGAACTTTCAAACGTCTCAAAAAAATTACCAACAAATTTGAATGCCGATGCATTTTTTATACAAAATATATATTTTGCAAGCCCCAAAACAAAAATCAGCTTCTTATTAATAAATTTTTTCAAGTCACCATTCTGACATGTTAGAGCTGGGGGTCACTCGGAAGGTACCATTCACATTATATGCCATAAGTTTTTCTCAGTTTTCCATCGTATTTTCTCGAAGTATTGATTTTTAGAAACTGTTATTATTTAATTTGGGACACTCATCAAATCGACGTGTTTTGCTCCCTATCGCGCTTTTTCCTCCCACTATCAGAATTTGGTCCAATGATAAAAGTTGGGTGTCTCGTCAAAACGAAGCTGTGTATAAACTTTCAGCCTGTTATTAATCACTGAAATCCCTTGTATGTGGGCCCGTGGACTATTGGGTTGACTATAGATATCCGGTACTTGATTTTAATTATGTTTTCAGTTTAGGAGGCTTGTCTGGGCTAAGCATGAAACTTTTATATTGTTTTTGAATGTCGGAAATGAGTTTTGAATTAATTTCAATAAAAATAAATTTCACTAAAAATTCCGTATAACGAAACGCAAATATAACATTTTGTATAGTGTTATGAGGTTAGATGTCAAAAACCGATGTGAAAAAGTGTGAGACGGGACTGCCATAATTTGGGCAACCGTAAATGTCAAATATAATATATTATCTATGAAGTCAAATGCCAATTGTCATTCCGTTTCTCTAGTGGTCACTCGAATGTTCTCTCATGTGTTTAGTGCTGTGTTTTCCCTGTTCCTGCGACGACTTCTGCTCTGTTTTTGAAATTTTTTGATTTGATTTAAAATTACATTGTTTCATTTACCACTATCATAGCCGAGTTTAGGGAAACATGACTTTATAGATAAGATAGATCAAATCTGTACTAAAACTGAATCAGAACACCCCAAATCCACGTAGTCTTGTCTGACCTACCCCTAGAGTGTTTTTTTGTAAGCCGTAGGCGCGGAGGGAGAGCAGCCCTCGTCCACTGTAGCAAATCGCAGGCCCCTGTGTGAGCCATAGCGGCTGAGGCTAGTGGCCGACCAATAAGCCAAAGCTGCGGAGGTGAGCATGGATGCCTGTGATTTGCTACGCAAGGGCGAAGGAGCTGCACTTCCCGCAGCGCCGAAGCCGTTGCAGAAGTAACTTTGTGTCAATATTCCTATGTAAAAAAGTGAGGTTATGATTTTACAAAAAAAAATATTACTCATAAACTATAGATTTCCGCAAGGGGGAAGGGTAGGGGAGGCTTCCCCTGAACCCTCCCGCTTCCCCCTCCCCCTTCCACCCCCGTACGCGAGTACCGGATGTCTATAGTTTAACCCAGTTTTTACTGTGCCTATCAAGTTATTTTGCATTCCATTGAAATGAAAGGAAAATTTATTCATAGTGAAGGAAGGAACATCATATTTAGATAGCTCTATAAGCAATAGTGAAAGTGAAAATATGCATTGTACCAATAAGTCATAGTGATGATGATTTATCAATGCATATGATTGTTTGTCATCAATATAATCTTTATGTATATTATGATATAGGTTTGACCTATATATATGCTTTAGACTGTCTTTTTATTTCAATTTCATCTTGTAATATTTTGTACAGTTGCACAGTTTCAATGTAGACTTATTTAAAATATTATTGTTTCTAAGGTTCCTGAGTATTTCCCATAGATCCTTTTTTGACCTACCATACCTGAGTGTCCAAGTGGTGTCATCCATTCCAAGTGCAAACTTAGCTGAACTGAGTTGTAGGAACCTTATTAAGTATAAAGGCGAAAAGGCTGCTATTTGGGGCAGAACTGGTATTAGAGGCATCCACCCTATATTATGTTAAAATAATATTTACATTTAGGGGTGATTATTTAATGGCCACCCAAAAATAATTCAAAGATGTTTATGATTGCACAATATTTCCTTTGTGTCCCAATTAAATAAATAGTTTTAATTATTTTCATTTACATCTTTGGATTATTTTCAAGACCTATCAAACAAAATTACATTTGAGAATCATTTCTTATATTTATAGAACTTTGTGGTAATTGTCCAGCATACTTCATCGACCTGAACCAAAAAGAGGTATCCACTACTATAATTAATTTTTTTTACTTTCCACTATATATTAAAAATCAATTTTGTAATCTGCTAGTAAAAACCAAATATAATAAAGTCAATGTTTGAAGAAGACCATGCTCTTATGGGTCATAAATCTTTTGCAGAAGTATCCCTGTGTGATGTTAGCGCTGTGTACATCCTTAGTCAATGGTTTACTGAACGGTAAGTGGCCAGGGAAACGAGAAAAACAACCACAGAAAAACCAATTACATAAAGGCAGATCTCAACAAATAGTCTAGGCAAAGTAAAAACACACATTTGTGGGTGTTTCATCATTTGAAAGATTTTAAAAACCTTCCAAGTGATGAAAATTCACAGATGCTTTTGAATTATTAATATAAAGTTACTAATGCAATTTTTATTTATTCACTCGGCGTGTGTTGCTGTGGCGCTGCTTCTACCTTGTGCTTTGTGTGACAGGATAACACTTCCTCATCAAAGCATCGATCGGACAAGCACTCTGATAAGCACAGAGAAAGAGAAAAGGATGGCAGCCGAAGGTAATTCAGTTCTGTATTCTATATGAATATATTCTATGTTAAGTCTATAACACCACAGTAACTCAGGGACTAAGTGGTTTCCATAAATATCACAGTATGCGAGGGTTTGATCCCAGCTGACACAAATTGTTAGTTGCAGTTTTACATGCTGATTTAGCAATTGCTTGGTGATAAAAGAACCTCTATATAGAATAAAGTATATTGAGGGCATTTATAGTCCACCAATACTGCAGCAACATGGCAGATTATATGGTCCATAACTCTCAAAAAATAAGAAGAGGCCTTTGCTCAGCAGTGGTATAAACCATAATATTATGGGCTGTAATATGTTGAGAGTACATATGATACTTTACTACAATTAATTTGTAAAAAATATATTAGATATTTATTTATGTCTATCAAAGTTCTGAGCCAAAATAAAAACTTAAATAAAATCATCACTATATTAATTTGTGTTTCTTCTTATTAATGTGCTTTTACCACATTATAGTGCAGTGTAAAATTAATATATTGAATTTAATGAAAGCAAGTAGAGTAACCCTTGTCAAGTTAATAGTAAAGCCCAACATTTCGCACTTTGCGTTCATGGTGTACAAATGAATGATAAATAATACATTATTTTTTAGCAAATATGTATTTATTTAGGAATACCCTGGCTAAGATTGAGTTGAATTCAGATCTAAGTTTAGCCATAAAATTTAAGTCTGTGGCATGGGCATGGCATCACTTCTTGTCATAGTAGTGATGCCATGCCATGCATGTATTCACCCTAGTGTGGATAAATGGAATAAACCGAAGCGTTGTACTTCTAATTAGAGTTACTTTGAAAATAATTATATTGAATGGTATTTATTGAAGTTGTTGCATAATTCTTTCATTTTATCCATTTTAGTATTATATCACATTTTTAATATATTTCCTAATTGCAATTAACTAATTTTTATTATATTTTAGACGCAGCAGGTCAAGAGACAGACGAAGATCGCGCGATAGGGATTCACGCCGCTCAAGAGAAAGAGATGACAAAAGGGATAAAGAAAAGGATCGCGATCGCAGGGATCGTGATAAGGAAAGGAGCGATCGAAGCCATAAAGATAAAGACCGTGATAGGGATAAGGAAAGGGAAAGAGAAAGAGATAGAGAAAAGAGACGAAGTGGGGATAAGGAACGTAGCAAAGAAAGAGAACGGAGTCGTGATAGGCATCATAGGCGCGAAAAAAGTCGCGAGAAAGAACATAGTAAAGACTACCGCTCAAAGTCAAGGGGTATTGAACCTAAAATAGAAGATTTACCGCCAGAGGAGAGAGATTTGCGGACCGTATTTTGTATGCAATTATCTCAGCGTATAAGAGCTAAAGATCTAGAAGAATTCTTTTCTTCTGTTGGTAAAGTTCGAGATGTAAGACTTATTACATGTAACAAAACTAGAAGGTTTAAAGGTATAGCATATATAGAATTTAAAGATGCTGAGTCTGTACCATTGGTTAGTGAACAATATTTTTTGAAGTTTTTAAAATTGTTTCTTAATATCTTACTGTTAATATTGTTGTTTTTTTATAGGCTTTAGGTTTAACTGGGCAAAAATTACTTGGTGTTCCTATTATTGTTCAACATACACAAGCTGAGAAAAATAGAGTAGGCAATACATTGCCTAATTTAGCTCCAAAGACCAGCAATGGACCAACAAGGTTGTATGTTGGTTCATTACACTTTAATATAACTGAAGATATGTTACGTGGTATCTTTGAACCATTTGGAAAGATTGATCACATACAGCTTATGACAGATCCTGAGACAGGCAAAAGTAAAGGTTATGGCTTTCTCACGGTAAATTTATGATTATTCTAAATCACTGCTTGTTAAAGAAATACATATGAAATATTGTTAATCAATGTTTTTTCCAGTTTCATCATGCGGCAGATGCTAAAAAAGCTATGGAGCAATTAAATGGATTTGAATTAGCTGGAAGACCAATGAAAGTAGGAAATGTAACTGAAAGAACAGATGGTGGATCTAGTACTCGTTTTGATGCAGATGAACTAGACAGAGCTGGTGTTGATCTTGGCGCAACTGGCCGACTTCAACTAATGTTCAAACTTGCAGAAGGCACAGGATTACAAGTTAGTTATTTAATGTTTATCACATAAATTACAGATTTGTCACTTTATTTAGTCTGCAAATCTATTTATAATATTAGGTTATTAGCCAATTTTTGCAAAAAGAAATATTTTGTTTTTTGGTTGAGATTGTCTCATATCTCTGACCCTGCATTCGCAGCTTAGTTCCAACCTTATCATAAAAAGTTAGTTAAATCCATAAATTAGTAAAAGTTATAGTAATTAATCTGAGCATGTGGTAGCTCAGATGGTTAGCGCTCGCTGTAAGCTTCACAGTACTCGTGCAACCCGGGTTCGATCCCCGCCGGCTCCAATGAAATTGTTAATTGCAATTTTAAGTGCTGATTAACCACGTGCTCGGCGGTGAAGGAAAACATCGTGAGGAAACCTGCATGTCTGAGAAAAAAGAAAAAGAAATATTTCGAAGACATGTGAAGTTCGCCAACACGCATTGGGGCAGCGCGGCGGACATTTCCTTGCCCTAAAACCCTTTCAGAAATGAGAGGAGGCCTGTGCCCAGCAGTGGGACGTAAATAGACTGCAACTTTACTTTTTTACTTTTATAGTAATAATAATAATAAAAGAATAGAATTCTCCACTTAGAGAAAACAATCGTATCATCCTAGTGTCTCTGACACTGCATCCCTCACTTACCTTCAATCAATTCAAGAGTTACAATAATATGAATAATAAGTAAGTGAAAAAACAATCAATTTATGACTACTAGCACAGTTTAGACATTACAGATGTGAAACGACATTAATGTCAGTCGATGCCGCCGCTCGCGTAGGTATTGACGCGGCCAGCGTGTATGCTAGGGGTGGTCACGAAAATGGAAGTAAAATAATTATTATAATACTCATTATTATTTATTAACATTATGTAAGTTACTTATAAGTTAAAAATATTTATCGAACAAGATTATGTTTTATTACTACAAGAAAAACACATTTACAATTGTTGCACTGCCAAATATTTTTAACATTTTCTTTTTATAGATGTTTTCCGTTTTCGATTGTTAAATTTAATTATTTAATGTATTCACATTCGGATAAACAATCTTATCAAAAGAAAATGAGGGAAACATAAGCATGGCCGTCATTTGAATTCAATTTTACTTAGTAACTCATATAACTAACAGTAATTCACTATTATAGATATTATATTTTTCAAAGACAGTACTTAAAATTAGTTTAATAAGTACTATAAAACACGATCGCGTCTATCACTCAGTGAAGTGAAGTGCACTCAGTGAAGTGCGCTAGCACAAGTTCGGCCCACCCCTGCCCCGCAGTACCCCCACCATTGCTCTGCACAAGTACATTTGTTTCCCAACTGTAAGGTTTTAAAACTGTGCTACTATAACAAATTATAGTCTGTATGAACTATTTAAAAAATACAGTTATGAAAATGGATTGAATATTCTTAATTCATAAAATAATAAAAATATTTTACATAATTGGTATAGTAATTGGTGTAGTAAGTATTAACATCTCGACATTTTATTATAGATTCCACCTGCTGCAGCATCAGTTCTAATGGGTACAGGATCAAGTCTGGTAGCGCCACAACCACAAGTTGCTCCCCCTATTGCAACACAATGTTTTATGCTTAACAACATGTTTGATCCTGCTACGTAAGTGTATCCTTTTAGTAAGAATAATTTCAAATTATCAGTATCAATTAAGTATAATAATTTGTTATTTTTTGTATTGTATTTGCAGAGAAACAAATCCTAACTGGGATATTGAAATCAGAGATGATGTGATTAGTGAATGCAACAAACATGGTGGAGTGCTACATGTGTATGTAGACAAAGCATCACCTCAAGGGAATGTATACTGCAAATGTCCCACGATAGCAACAGCTGTTGCATCTGTTAATTCACTACATGGCCGTTGGTTTGCTGGTAGAGTTATCACAGCAGCATATGTGCCTCTTGTGAACTACCATTCCTTATTCCCTGATGCGATGACTGCGCTGACGTTACTTTTACCATCGCGACAACGATAAAGTGTTAAAAACATTTGGTGGAAATAACTTTAATAGAAATATGCTTATATACTGTAATAAGTATATATATTTAGTGGTGTTCTTGATTCTAGGTAATAAAATATTCATTGAATTTTTTATGCATTTTATTTACTCGAAAAAAACATTCCATTTTCCTTATTAATAAATATCTATATTCTGTTCACCTCAGCAAGATATTATTTGTAAACATAAAATCCTACTTGTCTGAACTGCAGACAGCTAATAATTAACTATAATTTACAATAAATACTTAATTGCTGTAATGTATAATCAATAAATTTACAAATATAGTTTATACTAGTTAAAAATCATTACGGGCACGTAAACGAATCTATTATATTCTGTCAGAAATATACTTGTATCAGTTCTAATTCTAGCGCGAATTTATCGCTTAACATAATGTTATGGCGATATCTTCGTCAACTGTAAACCGTTTTCGATGATTGGTTTTTTATTCAACAGTTATATTTAAGGGGTGGTCCCATTTTAATTTGGGGGTGATGTTTTGATGTAACTATTTGTACGACATTGAGATTGTGATATTCCTTAGAACAGATTCTTCAAATGGGTTCCGTAGAAAATCGCCAGAGTTCAGTGAAATTATTTATTTTGCTTTTAAATAATGCCACAGTTAAATACAAATGTTATTTTGTAATAGTCCAAAATAAGTGTAGTGTAATATGTTAGATAGATTTAGATAAAAGTTTCACTTTTAAAACATTTCTAATAAAAGTGTTCTTATTTAAATGCCACTTTTTTACACTTATTTAATTGCCTTGGATGTGTAATCATTTGATGTGGAGTTCCAAAAAATAAAGAACCTTAGCTAATGATAAAAAACTACTTTAGATAAAAAATATAGACTAAAGAACTAAAAAGAATAAAATAATTTCTAATTTCTGAAGTAGAGATGTTACGGAGGTTCGATTCCAATTCCGAAAGTTCGGAACTCCGATTGATTTTGCACTTACGATTCCGATTTCGGTTCCGTTAAATTTTAATCGGAAGTTATATACCGGAGTCCGATGCACAGCGGTGGCGGCGGCCGCGATCAGTTTTTTTTTTGCGCCCAGAAGCAATTGAAAAGAGCTACCCTCCGGAAAGCGAGGAAGGGAGGTGGTGAATGCTCTAAGCATACCACGACAACCGGCTTTCGTGGTTATGTTGGACACACTGCGAATAACCTAACCTAAGTTCCTACCCACTAAACACCACCTGTGAGACTGACATTGAGTTTTGAGGCCTTTCTGCCGACTCGGAAGCGACCCTCTTTAGGAAAAAGAAGGCGCAGGCGGCGACAAGCCGCGGAGCGGGAGCCTAACTAAGGCAAATTAAGAAGAGTCGGCCTGAGACACCAGGAGGCAGTTTAGGTCGGCCGAAAGCTTGTTTAGCGGGTCCGAGAGAGTTTCTCGGCCTGCGGACTCGACAGCGAGAGGGGAATGGGGCTGCATAAGTAGCTGCCTCACGAATGAAATGATTGGAGTGAGACTCTGAGGCTTTGAAGAAATTCTCAGAGAGTGTTTTTAGAAATTGTTGGATTGAGGGGAGCTCTTAAGTTTCGATGGAGGTCGGCCTTACGGACGTACCAGGGTGCGTTCGTAGCTCGACGACAGAAGTGGTTTTGAACTATTTGGTATTACTAACAAATATAGCGCCCGCGTATATCATGACGGGTCGTATATAGACCTTATAAAGGGTTCGCTTGTTTCGCAGGGACATTTTACTGTATCGGCCCAGCATAATGTTGAGCCTACTCAGATAGAATCGTGCGTTGCGGGTTACTCTTTTGACATGGGGCCCGAAGGTGAGCCTCGTGTCGAAGGTGACACCTAAATATTTGGCGGTCGTATGCCATGGGACAGGGGTCCCTAGTATACGGATAGGCGGAATGGTAGTGAGGCGGCGTAGTTTATGATCGAAGTGAACGGCTGAGCTCTTCTCCGGGTCTTATGACGACGAGGATAGAAACCGCTGAGGATATATTCCACACTACGGTGAACTTGTTGGGGACATGAATGTTTCGCTCGGAAACCAAATTGGTGGGGGATGACAAGAGGATCACCGTCATTGGGAAATAGGTGAAGCCTCATGCGAGTAAGGATGACTCATTCGAAGAGTTCGCCTTGAGGAGGCTGATGGGACGATGATTGTAGGAGAGCCGCGATCTGCGTGTACAAACAATTTTATACTTGTCGCCCCGGGAACCTCCCTCCCCCCGTGCCTTCTGTCAATTACTCTTCAACTTGATGTTTTGTTTGGTGTTTGGCAATTGGCATGTTGTACGTACGCGCTTTATTTATACTTATCCGAGTTTTTGATTAGTTTTAGTAGTGTTTTATTTGACGTGTAACAACTTTATTTGAATTGGACAATGAAGCCAAAATCAAGTACTATTTGGAATTTTTTAATGAAATTTCTGAGAATACAGCAAAGTGTAAACTATGTGAGAAGATATATTCACGAAAGGGAGATAAGACTACTTCGTTAAAAAGTCATTTAAAGTCTGTGCATGCCACTGAATCCGAAAAATTCAAAAATTTGATATTGAAAAGAAAAATACAGTGCAATAGACCTGCCCTTAACACATATCTTCTGCCTCCACCTCGGATTCCGGTTCCGATTTCGGTTCCGGTTCCGATAAACAAAATTTAAAACTCCGCTTCCGAATTCAGTTCCGATATAACCACTTCCGTTACATCCCTATCCTGAAGCATTGAAGTAATATGTATTACGTAAGTTTATTATACCTAGGTACTTTAGTGTTCTGAAGTCGGAGCTTTAATTATTCCGTCACGGTCTCGATCATTGAATTCAGAATGTGAAATTATTTTATTCATTTTAGTTCTTTGGAAGTCTGCTTTTACATTTTATTAAGTCAAAATTACTTGGCCGACACAGTGCCGTGTCTAAACAGTGGTAAAGTATTTTTCATTAAAAAACACCTTTTTTCATTACATTAAAAAACACCTTTTTTCATTACATTAAAATTTCGCATTAACTAGGCTTATTTAAATACGGTATTTTTTCGTTTCAGCACAGTAAATATTTTTTATTTGCAAATTTATTCTGATCGTCACTTAATCGCATCCTCAACCAACGAAAGAAAGGTTTGACCTTTGACACGCACACATTTTTATTCTTTATCTGTTTAACAGTTCATTAAAAGTTGGGCGTACATATTATGCACTTAAAACCATGGTTGGAAATGATTTGTATGCGTCAACATGTTCTTACAATAGGTTAAGCATGGAATTGGCTTCACAAATAAATAAAATTTAAATTTGAATTTGGTTTTGCCGACACTTGAAATGTGCTCAGTTCTTCGTCGATCTTTTTGTTGGTCTGACGTTACACATTTAAAGATTACTTACGTTTATTTAATGGTTTGTTTACAAATCTCATGCTGAAATAAACAAAATATACCTACTGCTAAAAATACTTGTACATTGTTTCATACAGCCCTTATCCAATCAATTTCTAATGTAGCTGGTCCTTTTTGTTTTATAGGTTGATAGACTCCTCCATACATCTGTATCCCAATACTAGTTATTTGAGATATATCTAAAGTTTCGTTGTTATTGACTCTTTTACCTCGATAGTATGCTTTGAATTCAGAGAAAGGCAAATTACGTACGGCAAACTCATCCTTGGGGCCCTGAAAAAATTGAATGCGGGTTTTGATTTTCATAAAAATGTAATAAGATGATATTTTCGGAATTATATCTCCAGAAAATTTCACTGTCGTAGGTATTATCACAGATATTATAATTATGTTCGGTGAGCATTAAAAAAACGTGAGAATGCGGTACATACTCTGGAATAAAAACAAAATAAAGCAGGATTAACTGTTAATATACCATAAAACTAAACGGATTATCTTTTGTTTAAAAAAGTTCTACGCTTGGAAATTTTTTTCAAGTTCGCAGTTGCCGACTTTAAAATGGAAGAACACCACTAAACCAAATATGGCCCCCGCTCAGGACACCCTGTGATAGCAGAGAGCGAATAAAATCGTTAAAATGTTTTAGCAGATTGTCGTGTCACGGTAAGTTTTATTTAGGCAGGTAGTTTGTTTAACATTTTATATGAACACTTGGGGATAAAAAGTATCTATCTGCGCGTTCATTATCCGGAATGCTTACTGATGCGCAGTAACAAACTTTACTGAATATTTCAAAAAAATTTGTGTAACTGTTGAATGAAGATGTTCATCTTTTTTGCCTCTTTTAATAACAATGGACGATTCGTGCTCGGCTTCACTATAACGATTCCGAAATAAAATTAAAAGCAATGGCTTGGAGAAGACAAACTTATTCAACTCCTAAAGAATATAAGGAGAGATTCTGTCTGCCGAGATTGTCAAGATTGGCATTTTGTTTGTCTGTCTGTCTGTCTCTATATCCGGGCTAATGGGTTCCAGAAATTTTAAGAACATAATTGAGAGAATAAGCTCATTCTGCGTAGTTGTGACCAAGCAATAATTTTAAAGTGAAGATAGCCGTGGTTAACTATAACACGTTGAACACCTCAGCTCTCCGGGATCAAGGCTTTAAAGTATTCGAAATATCGGGTATATAAAATAATTAAACTCGATAAAATGAGTAAAAACCAATTTTATTAGATGTGTAGTCATGTGTAGCGAGAAATCATTAGGGTTTAATTCTTCTCTTATCGCTTTAATGCTATCGTCTTGTGCAGTTAATAGCTGCCAGAGGTAGTGGTAGTCAGCCAGAAACACAAACATGAACCATTGCGATAATATCGGGGAGAAGATCTCTCCGGTACATGTCGCAATATATATTCGATAATTTCATTTTGCACAAATATATAGGTTTGGCTTCAAACGCAAAACCCACGACTCAAAATACATAGATGATATCCTAATTTCGAATTTGCGTAGTAGAGAAGATTTTTTTGATAAAAAAAAATGAAAAACGAGATTATACAAATTGTTTTATAAGTTAACAAAAATATTCAATGTCACTACAGTCTACATCTGTATATCTTGACCAAATTTCTTTGACAACGTTACAAAAATTTATATCAAATCAAAAATTTCTATATTTGTGTAATGAAATACTTAGATATTTATGCGTGTATGATCACAACCTGATGGTTTAATCAAGCAGTTAATTGCACAGATAGACCTGACCTTGTTTCATTTGTCTTTTTATCAAATTACAATATCACGTATTACACGTAACATTTGCGCTAATCGAAAGTCTTCCATTTACTTTTAATGGGGCTGGATCATGTAGGCATAGGCTTTTAAATTACATAAGTTTCTATGCCATTTAACATAGCGATTCACTTCTCTTTGTATTACGACACTACGGTCATTTGAATAGATAGCGTCAAGCTGGTGTAATTTTACCGATGAAATTATTTTTCGTAAAAGAATTTACAATAAAAATCCTGATTCGATTACCAATTTTTATACGTGGGAGAGCCATGCTGCAGCTATATTAATAGTATAGAATTGTAGCACGAATGGGTCGGCTCGACCGGGGAAGGACCACGCTCTCACAGAATACCAGCATAAAATAGCAGCTTAATGCTGCTGTGTTTCGTATGGTGAGTATAGAGAACCGGAGACCCTTTTTACTGGAAAAGAGGCATTCTATCTTAGTCCTCACGGCTGACAACGCGTCTGCATTTTAATTCGCAAACGTAGATGTCTATGGTCTACAGCAACCACTTACGATCAGGTGGACTGTCTGCTCGTTTGTCACACCTATTCTATAAAAAAAAAACGATGATCTGTGAATGACAATGATTTTTGTTCTGAAATTTCCACCAAACTCGAGATTATTCTCGTAGAATAATGATAGCGTTTAGAGAGATGGCTAAAAATAGTTCGAGCACACAGTCGACCTGATGATAAGTGTAGTCTGTGGCCCTTAGATATATAAATTTATCCTCAAAACCATAATGCGTTATCAACCCTGAGGACTAAGATGGATGCTTCGTATTCAGTAAAAAGGGTCTTCGGTTCTCTCCACTCAATATTCGAAACACAGCAGCTTAAGCTGCTATTTTACGCTGGTATTGTGTGAGAGGGTGGTACTCACCCGGTCGAGCCGATCCATTCGTGCTACAAACATAATAAAGCTGTAGCATGGCTCTACTACGTATAAATTGAATGAAAGCATTAAATTAACCATCTAATTAACGAGCTGAATGGTAATATACGAGTATGATTATTGGGCTGCGCCAAATAACTGCATTGCTTGCAAGTGCTACATGAACACAACATTTTGTATTATCGTTAAAACTCACAGCTCGCTAATAGTAATAATACAGACTGAATTTCTGTCACGGCGGCTTTCTGTCTCAATGGAAACTTGGTCATCTGCGCAGGTGCATTTTAGTGCACGTGCATGCGAGTGCCCATATGCACTCTCTATTCCCTCACTTTAATAATACGATGGGGTGGAAGTCCGACACGGGCGGAAAGGGATCAGGCGCAGAACCAGCGACTTTAATTCTTTTCGAGCCACGGAGGTGAAACAATGCCCAAGTTTTTCTAACTCCGGGCGGGTGCTACTAAGAATTTTTTGATAGAAAAACCCGCTAGAACGACGAAGCATTCAACGGAAGTCATAGCTCACTACGAAAATCTACTTAGCAGTGGATCAGAATTTTATAATATTAAGTACAACAATGTACACAATACTTGATAATTGTCGTTAACCCAGACAATGATTGTGGACAGATTCGTTGACCTCCATTTTCCATTCAGTCGAACGAATAAGTTAAAGTTAAATACATTCGTATGTCCAAATTACGTTTAGGTATATACCTATCGTTAAACGTTTCAACATTTACATTACAAGTACGTGAGCACCGCCAAGATAATATATTAATTTTACTAAAGTTATGTACGTACCTTCGTATCAATTTATTTGGTTATGAGCTATGTTTATTAAATATTATGAATAACCAAAAATATTTTTATCAGAGACATTAATAAAAACGTACCTGGAAATATTGTTCAAAGGAATAATTAGGCTCATCATTTAACCCTTTGTGCCTCAGAACCATTTTGAATCCATTGTATTGTCCTTGTCCTCTACATTGAATCTGCAGTTTTGTATGGCCAGTTAGGTTATATGTTTTAATTGCTCTCACACCGGCGAATCCAGCACCATTCAATTGAGGATTCAATAATGCGAAAAATATGGCTCTTCTATAGGCAGTGTTCTGATGTAGCACAAATACTGCTTTAGACATTCCAACGTCTCGAACAGTATCAGACTGTTCTTGCCAATTTTCGACATTGTCGGATTTTGTAAAATCAAATAAATATTGTTCTTCGGGTAAGGAAATGTTACTGAAAAAATAAACAGGGATAATCGACGGATCGTCAGTAGGTACTTATCACTCAACAGCTGGACCACGGGTTCAATTAAAATGTTTTATTCATATTAAAATAAAAGAATTACATTTAAAATTATTGGCTTGAATGAAACATTTTAAAACGAGTTGAATGTAAATTCAAGAAAAACAACTTTCTTCTGCGTGAATCCCATATCTATGGTGCCCTTTGACCTACAGGACCCAAATTCAAACTCGACCAAGCTACTACCTCAAGGTATCCACATACCAAATTTAAAGTCAATCGGTCCAGTGGAACGGAAGTTATCGTGTCGGCATACAGACTAACAGACTGTCAGCTAAAACCATTAACTTCCTTTCAATGCTACGCAGAAGGAAGTTAATAATCGGCATGAAGTTCTACTTGACATATCTACATATGTAAACTGTGGCACTTACTAAAAAACCGTTGAAATCTGTAGCGTAAAAGACGGTTCTGGTCGCTACCATTTTTTTTTTTTTAGAAATTAACGATTTCTACCCATACTCTATCCATTAAAAATAGGAAAAAAACTTTAAATGTGTCTTTCCGCCAACACGTTCTTCAATATTTTTTATTACGTACTTGGTGGTAGGACTCCTATTGTGCCCAGGAGTCCGTCTGGGCAGATACCAACCTCTTACCTATTTCTGCCGCCAAAAAGCAGTAGGTATTTATTGCACTTAGCATTACTGTGTTTCGGTGTGTAGGGTATAGAGATCCAGTATAATTACAGGCTAGGAAGCATTCCATCCTAGTCCTCAGAGGTAACAACGCATCTGTAGCCATCTTTGTTTGAAGTCTGTTGTAGGTGTCCTTGGGTTTGGGCTGCAGTAACAACTTATAATCAAGTGGACTGTAAGTTCGTTAGTTGGTTCAATTTTATAAGAAATGCTTAAGTTTTAGGCACTCGTAAATATCTAGTTCGGATAGGTATTGTCTTTTCCATTTCGATATACATTTTGCTAACTTCTTTGACCCTCACTCTCACAACTTTTTATATATCGAAGTACTGGGGTCATTTTGCATATAAATTTGTAATTATAACATACATACGTATATAAAACAATTAACATAATATGAATGTTTCATGAATATCAGTGGGTAGACTATTATACTATTGAAACATCATTTCTTTTTCTGTAGGGAAATATACACAACATCCATTTGGTTATCATGTAGTAAATTATTTTTTTCTTTTAATGTGCCCAGAATTTCATGAGCAGATGCCTGTTGCCGAGCTGTATCATATAGCATCCCCAATAAAATGCACGTGTTTCGTAAACATTACATCGTTTAAAAAAAGTAACAAATAATATATGAAAACGCACAGCACGACGTTTAGCAATTGACTAACCATATTAAATAAAAGCATTTGTATCGTATGAATTACAAGAACGCAATGTTAAATTCCTAACATCAATGGAAAGCCAGAGTTACGATAGACTGTGATTCCACTGCTCTCACGGAATATTAAAATTAAGGTTGCATATACGCCACTTTTTGTGAGAGTTTAAAATAACCGGCAAAAATGAGTCGTTCTATTTAACAGAAATGTTTACCATAAGTAAAGAGTATCAAAAATAAAATAATGGGTACAAAATGGTTAATTGGACTAAAAATTTGTATGCTAATAATAATATCATATTGTTTAAAGCATTCGATTAAACATTTAAATATTCTTAATTAGGATGGTTTTACTATTTGATTTTCTGGTTATGTTTACAGAAACTTGTAATTTCTAATATTTTTATAATTTGCTTATCATGATTAGTCTTTTCCTAATAATTTTAAATAATTGTTACCTACTTTTGAACTTACCTCGAGTAACAAATACCATTCGTAGAGATAAAAAATAATATTTGAAATATAACAACAGCTTTAAGTGAAAACATTTTATAGATTCAAACTTCTTCAAACATATGTTAAACACGAGCACTAAAGATAAATACACCCGTGTGTACTCGATAAAACTTACAACTGTCAATTATAGTTATGTCTGTAGTTAAGTACGATCCTATCTATGGCAATAAGTATAAACAAGTTCTGATTCTGTTGGTACCTACCTAAGTAATTTAAATGAACATTTGACACTCTTATCTTCCATTATGTTATTGACGTCTAGCGGTATCAAAAACATGATGAGCTAAAATGAAGTACCTACTAACATTGCGAATCAAACATGAAATAGGAAGAAATTGCTAGGCCATTTTTATTTTAAATATACCATCACAAGCGATTACGTCCTTATCATTAACGATCAATACAGGTTTTTGTACAATTTATTGATTACAATGTAATAAGAAGAGGTTAGGAATGCTTAACACCTTTGTTATTAATATTATTTAGGTATTCAAATTTAACAACATTGTTTTACTTAAAGAGTATTTGGTAACTTACCAAGTTTTAAGATCAGGGAGTGGAATGTCTTGTTTATTCTTGAAGACGTCCATTTTTGACAGAGTAATAGGAGTTACTCCTATAAGTGGGAATTGACTAGGAGATAAATAGCTGTTTTGCGTTGCGTTGCGCAATACGTAGGTAGTTCTTGGCGAAATTTAATCTGTTGAATAAAATTATTTGGAATTTTTACATAATATTGCTTCTGAAGTCGATTATAAGTTAGTGTGTCAAAAAGTCCGAGTGTAAACATTTGAGTTATTAGGTACCTACACTAAATCAAAATTAAGTATGGGGTAACCAGGTGTGACGACACATAATTATTAGTAATTAAGGACGCGTTTGCAAAATTGATAGGTATAGAATCGAACTATTACATTGACACGAGTCACACAAAAGTGTACGCACGGTTAGCTGGGGAAATCGTAATCAAGTAAAACATTTTGATATTTTGAAAGATTGATTATTTTTCTCATTTCTTATACCTACAAAAATATACTTAGATACGAAATTCGAATACCTACCTGTGTGACCTGAAAGTGTACTTCGGTGCCTGCTACTGGAACTCCTGGACGAGTAGAATAAAGTGTGCCGAGTTTAGACTGGTTTTGTTAGTTGTGATGGTACCTTACCTCCAGACTTGATGGAGTAACCTGAAGGTGTACTTCAGTGACTGCTACTGGAACTCCTCGACGAGTAGAACTAGGTGTGCCTAGTTTGGACTCGATTTGTTATTTATGATAAGACCTTATCTCCGGGCTTGACGGAGAGACCTGATGGTGTACTTTAGTGACTGCTACTGGAACTCCTCGACAAGTAGAACTAGGTGTGCCGAGTTTGGGCTCGATTTGTTAGTTATGATGTGACCTTACCGCCGAGCTTGGTGTTGAGACCTGATGGTGTACTTCGGTGACTACTACTGGAATTACTGGACAAGTAGAACTAGGTGTGCCTAGTTTGGGCTCTATTTGTTAGTTATGATGAGACCTTGTCGTATAGTGGCGGTTAAGAATATCCACTACCCCATATCTTCCCGTGGGTGTCGTAAAAGGCGACAAAGGGAAACAGGCAGGAGATGGGCAGCAGCATCTTCCTGATAACAGCAAAAATACAATAAAAAAACTGCGGTTGCCAACCCGCTCACCAAGCGTGGCAACTATGGCAAATATCCCCCTATGAATGAATGTAACAAAGAGACGGCCACCAGTCCCCGGCGGCCCCGCTATTCCTAGTTACGGTGGCGACCATGGTAAAGGCGGGGCTACTAAGAATCTCCGGTGGAGGTTCGGTTGCCACCTACGACGACTCGACCTGGCAACATACAACGCACGCACCCTGAAGACTGACGAGAAGATTGTGGAGCTGGAAGAAGAGATAGACAAGTTACGCTGGCATATTATAGGATTATCCGAAGTCCGAAGAGAGGGAGAGGAAACGGTAATGCTCGAATCCGGCAACTTGTTCTATTACCGGGAGGGCGACCTTCTGTCCCAAGGAGGTGTCGGATTTATCGTCCACAAGTCCCTCGTTAACAACGTTGTAAAGATTGAGAGTGTGTCGACGAGGGTTGCGTACCTTATACTCAGAATCACCAAACGGTATTCGCTGAAGGTCATACAGGTTTACGCACTAACCTCGGCACACCCCGATGAGGAGGTGGAGGAAATGTATGAGGATATCTCTAGAGCCATGCATTCCTCCAAAACCCAATATACGGTGTTAATGGGAGACTTCAATGCAAAACTAGGCACAAGAGAGAATGGTGAGCTGAAAGTAGGGAAATTTGGAATAGGGCAACGGAACCCAAGGGGCCAGCAGCTGGCCGACTTCATGGAGAAAGAGGGACTCTTTATGATGAACTCTTTCTTCCAGAAGCAGCCCCACAGGAAGTGGACCTGGTCGAACCCCGACGGTTCGACAAAAAATGAAATTGAAAATTTCAAAATTCATAAATTCAAATTGAAAAACTCTCCGATCACACTCTTAATCTCATGGCTGTTAGACGGGAGGTGAAGCTACATTATTCAACAGATTTGACAGCATACAGGCAACCGAACAGACAGATCTCTAAATGCATGCGGCGATGCGACTTACGCAACTTCAATATAGCTTGTATTGAAGAAGCGATTGAGCGGAACCAAGTCTCCAAAATCTTTGCCAGAGATCTGTCTGCCAGAAAGAGCCAACTGTCAAAGCTAAAGACCCAGTGTGGCAGCATCGTTTCCGGGGCACCTGAGATTTTGAGTAAGATTGAGAGGTTCTATGGGCAGCTGTACACGTCATCGTTGGAGCCACACGCAAGTGTGAGTAACGATCCAAGAGCGAGTCTTATCGGATACTATTCCGAAGATATCCCGGACGTCAGTCTGAGCGAGATTAGAATGGCTCTCCAGTATCTTAAAAAGGGCAAGGCCCCAGGCGAGGATGGAATTACAGCGGAGCTTCTGAAAGCGGGTGGAAAACGGGTACTTGAAGTCCTTCAGAGGCTCTTTAATTCCGTCCTCCATGGTGGCATTACACCAAAGGCGTGGAGCAGAAGTGCGGTGGTCTTGTTCTTCAAAAAAGGTGACAATGCTCTCTTGAAGAACTACAGATCGATTTTCCTTCTGAGCCGCGTCTACGTGCAGTTTTCGAGAGTCATTACGAATCGTCTCGCGCGCACACTTGACGACTTCCAGCCTCCCGAACAAGCCGGTTTCCGAAAAGCTGACCTTTAGCACCATAGACCACATACATACCCTTCGGCAAATTGTACTGAAGTCAGAGGAGTACAATTTGCCACTATGTCTGACTTATGTGGACTATGAGGAAGCCTTTGATTCCGTCGAAATTTGGGCGGTGTTGCAGTCCCTTCAGCGGTGCCAAGTTGACTGTCGGTATATCGAAGTGCTGAAGTGCTTGTACAGTAGGGCTACGATGGCTATCCGAGTACAGAACCAGAGTACGAAACCTATCCAATTGCAGAGAGGTGTAAGACAGGGTGACGTCATATTCCCGAAACTCTTCACCGCTGCATTGGAAGACGTTTTCAAGCTTCTGGACTGTAAAGGATACGGTATCAACATCAATGGCGAGTACATCACTCACCTTCGATTTGCCGACGATATAGTCCTTATGGCAGAATCGCTGGAGGACCTAAGCACTATGCTCAATGACCTCAATAGTGCTTCCCAACGGATAGGTCTTAAGATGAACATGGACGAAACAAAGATCATGTTTAATGTCCATGTCACACCTATGCCGGTAGTTGTTGGTAGCACTAAGCTCGAAGTTGTTGACGAGTATGTTTACCTGCGACAAATGACGGTGATATCGTGACAGGTGATTGTCGGCCTACGGTCCCTAGGCCGACAATCACCTTCCTGCAAGATGAGGAAGGCACAAGGCCAGAACGAGAGGATCGAGGGAACCAGGACAAGGACAGGGTTCTCAAGAAATGCTTTTTTTTATAGGATAGGGTGACAAACGAGCACACAGTCCACCTGATGGTAAGTGGTTGCTGTGGCCCATTGACATCTACATCTATCCTCGTTTGCGAATCAAAATGCAGATGCGTTGTCACCCGTGAGGACTAAGATGGAATGCCTCTTTTCCAGTAAAAAGGGTCTCCGGTTCTCTACACTCACCATACGAAACACAGCAGTGTTAAGCTGCTATTTGACGCTGGTATTCTGTGAGAGCGTGGTCCTTCCCCGGTCGAGCCGACCCATTCGTGCTACAACTATACTACTAATATAGCAGCAGCATGGCTCTACCACGTACAAAAGGCTAAAGAGGCGGAATCATCTGGAGCGACCACAGCTACTGCTTCGAGGGGGGCAACTCCTTCAAGTGGGGCCACCACCTATACGTCCACAGGCACATGGGACTCAGGAGCGTCCGTGGCAACGACAAGCAACAGGACCGACACTAGTGGTACGCAGACCGCACCGCACAGAAATCTTATATCCAGGAGCGAAACGATAGTCGAAAAGGTAGGTCAAGGGACCGAAGAAGCGGCGTCGACAAGAACAGTAGTCGGGCAGACTAGTGACAAATGGTCACAGAGAGGTAGTAGATCATCGCGATCGGTGAGGCTGAAAGCGGAATTGGAGGCGCGGATTAAATTCGAACACTCAGAGCTCGAACGAGCAGAAGCAGCTGCTGCTTTGGCCAAGTCACAATTGGAGTTGGCACGTCTCAACCGGGAAGAGGAAATCGACTCGAGTGAGGATGATGAAGAGTGGAATACTCAGGTGGAACCTTTGGTAAGGAATTGGATTCAACAGACCATAATGAGCGCGCCGGTTAGTGTAACGCAACCCGACACTGCTGATAAGGGAGCGTCCAAGGGATCACGCCGCAAAGGGGCGGAGGTCGAGCGCAACCTAGGAAATGCACAGGCACACGCGTGTGAGGTGTCAGAATTGACCGACGCGATTGTGAGTGCAATAAAGATAAGTCTTCCCAGCTTCATTTCCTCCAAGATTTACCGGTCTTCGATGGAGACACGGGTGAATGGATAATTTTCAAAACGGTGTTTGAAGACACAAGAAGCCAATTTTTGGGGGTGCAGAACGTAGCACGCCTTAGGAGGGCATTAAAGGGCAAAGGAAGGGGTTAAGTCA